TAACAAAAAGTTCTTTTTATACTATCCTATAATTAAAATCTAAAGCAATAGAATTCTATACAAAATGAAAAGATCAGTGCAAGAGGTTGGTTTCCATTTATTAACTAAATTGCATGGATTGCTAATGGATAAGTACTGCAACTTCTTGCATTTAATGTATTTTAAAGCTAAGTCTATGACTAAAGTACAGTCCAGTGAAGACCAGGTAAATTAGATAGCACCTTCCAGAATTCCATCTTGCCGTCCAATTTATTTCTCAATACTAACGAGCACCAATATCCTCACTGATATTCTCACTGTAAAATTTGAGTCCTTAGATGGTACACGCAGTGATATCCTCATCATAAATACAGTCTTACCCTTCAAAAAGTGTTTAAACCTTTGCCATTAGCCTTACTTCTCACATGCTGTGTTTCTGGAAAACGCTTGATACCTCAAATCTCTTAATTCTTTTACCTCTTTATTCTTAATCTTATTCATACTTCACCTTTCTCTCACTTTACTGCTATCTTTCCCTCTCTGTACTTGTTCCCCTTTGTCTTCATCACATTCCTCTCTGTTCTTGTTCCTTCCCTGATTATCTCTTTAGCTTCATTTTTGCCTGTCCACAAATCCTGCTCGTCTTTGTCTACTCTCATTCTTCCTTCCACTCTTCCAATCTCCCTCTCCCACCATCAATTTGATTTCTTCCTCAGTCTCATTTATTTCAATGCTTCCCTACCTCTCTTTTCAATTTTGTCTTGTTCTCTTTCTCTCCATCTCCTATACTCCATCTCTATTTTCCAACTGCTACTGGAAGTGGGGGTCCATTGAGTGACCAGCAGCAGAACCCAATATTATTGCATAACTAGGAGGAGCATTCAGCTCACTCTAACCCCAGAAAAAGAGAGACTATTTTGTGGTCATTTTGGGAGTGACTCCAGTGCCTCCTGTATGGGATGCTGGTCAAGCCACTCCAGGACTGGTACCAGGGGATGTAGCATGCAGGCATATGCACCACTACAGGTACTGAAAATTAGAAATGGAATCTTACAATGTCTGTAATTACTATAAATGTATTCCTGTCAGCTTTGGCTGGGAGTGCAGGCGACCTGAGTGAGACCTGGATGCTGCAGCTTAAGCAAATCATTTTGACAATTTGACAAAACCAATCTCTGTGTCACCTCTGCAAAAGTCTGGACCAGAACATTGTGGGACTACGCTCAATTCCACACATGCACAGTTTTCCCTTTGCAAAAAAGACCAATTGAAAACTGAACTCATGCTGTCTGATTTGCGACTGTCCAAATGACGGAGCATAAATCCACCCACTATTGAAACTGAATGGTTGGATACCCTGTCGATAATTAAAGTATCAGCCAGGGTTCCTGATCACTACACTGATCACTATCTGGTGATTACATCTGGATGGGCAGCCGATAACAACAGATAGTGTCGTTCTTCTGTTTTCCCACAACTAACAGTGGTCATTGTCCCGGAAGGCAGAGAGAATGCAATTTGCTGGCACAAGTCATACTGTAGCACAGCACCTGCTCCATTAAGTTGAAGGTGGGGGGTGGAAATAGAGATGGGATGGAGCTTTTAATTTTTTTTTAAATGGCACTGTCACCAAGTGCTGGAATTAGACCCATATGTTAAATAGATCTGTAATCTTAAAACAAATCATTTCTTTTGGAGGGAATTAATTGCACTGAGTGCCAATCAATCTTATTTCCATAAGTTCCTTCAACTCGAGATCAAATTGATGCAATAATATTGAGCACCACTTGGAGGAGATTATCTATTTAAGTTCAAACCTTCAGTGACAGAGTTAGTTCCAGAGCTAATTACTTACAACTTGATCAAATGACTTATTCACAAAGAAAAATCTGAAACGATTTGAAAATCGTAATCAACATTGCAAATGGCACAACTTCAATTCTTTAATACAAAAAGCAGAGAACAATGAACCTTTCCTTTACATTCCCTAAATGAAAAAGACCTGCATCTTGTAATGTATTGTCATAATTTAAAGACTAATGTTTCTAATGCGGCAATCCTTCAATTATTTCAACCTTCAAATTTATTTTGATGATTGTTTCTGTTATATTATGAACTATGATTGCTTGTTCTATTTGTTTATAATCACAATTTACCATCAGCCATTGTGTGATTTTTCAACAAATCAATTTTCTACCTATCTGTAACATTTGCATTGGTGTGAACTAACATTTTTGGATATTGTCGTAAGAAATGCTTGTTATTGAGGACAAAGTATTTGTCATGTCATTCATGATCAAACAGTATCAAACAGAGTTGTAAGAGGCTATACTAACCATTCAAAGTTCTATGAGCCTATCACTGACACCACTGATCAGTGCACATTTTCTAGCAGACATCACTGGATCTGATACAGAAGTGAGAGTTATTTTTGGGATCTTAGAATGAGTTATAGCATTATCTGATTGATGAGGCGGGTGATGATATCCTAACCATTCACCTCCCACCTCTCCCACCTACAAAAAAAATCGAAAGAACTGCAGATGCTGTAAATCAGAAACAAAAACAGAAATTGCTGGAAAAGCTCAGCAGGTCTGGTAGCATCTGTGGAGAGAAATCAGAGTTAAAATTTTGGGTCAAGTGACCCTTCCTCAGAACAGTTCTAAGTAGGGGGCACTTGACTGGAAATGTTCACCCTGATTTCTCTCCACAGATGCTGCCAGACCTGCTGAGCTTTTCCAGCAATTTCTGTTTTTGTCTCCTACCTATTTATGAACTCTCAGTATATATCAAAAGAGGGGACTTGGGCTTGATTGTGTATGACTAGGATCAAATTGCACTCCATCATAAAGCTGCCTGCAATCCTCATTAAGCAATGTCCACCTCTGGCCCAGTAGCAAGGTACGTACAGGGACATCCACATTGTTCCAGCCATGTGCTGACATATTGTCCAGTTCCAGTTACAGAAAATGCATTCTTGCAGGCACAGACTAGCAAGGCTGATCCATGAAGGATATGGAGGTAAGTAGAATGTCGAGGGTTAGCTCAGTCCAACACCTCCTGCAAGCAACTTTGACAAACCCACATTAACAAAGTGCTGAATATCTGGCTGTGTCAGATTTGGAGAACTAAATCACTGCAGTTGCGTGTTTGATAATTGAAACATGGGTAAGGACTGCAATGCCTTTGTCACACCAGATAGGCACATAGAGAATTGGGGACTGGGTAAAGAGACAGCGTGTATAGCATTCCTACAGCAGGTTTTGATACATTCGATCAAGGTAGCCAGTTGCCATTGTACTATTAATCAGATACGCGTTCAAATAAATTTACTGCAGAACTGTGGCGGACTTTTAATGGGATGTTTGTCGTTTTCACGTCTGATTTCAGTATCAGTGGCTTTGCCTGCTATCATGTTATCATCTGAGAATATACCATCAGTGCCCAACTCACTTTGTGCTGAAATCTCTCCACTCTGCTCCCTTTTAAACCTGTTTCTTTATTCATGCTTTTGGTCACTTATACCAATATCACTTTAGGTGCTTCAGTGCACTCATGTGGAGGGCCTTGGGACATTTTACTATGTGTTCTATAAACAAATTAACGTCTTACACATTAAGTATCAAGTATATCAAAGTCATAAGATAAAGTCTAATGACTTCCAAGCACAGGAAAATATTACTAAAGGAAACCACCTGGACTAGATTAGCTCTCTGCAGATACAAATGCCTTCAGTCAGTTGAGTATATTGTTTATGCAGATGCCAATCCAAAATAACTTTGTTTCCGATTACAAAAAAAGCAAGTATTTGAAGTTCACTTAAAAAGTCTTGGGCTGAATATTGCAGGTGTAATAGTAATGAAAATGTCAGTGCTCACTGTCATCGCTCAGTGATATTACAGCAACTCCTGGCATCCACAAACACGCATGCAGTTGAAAATGTAAATCTAGAGAGTTTGAAGTTATTGAGATTTAAGCAACACGTGACCAATGAATTGTGAACTTCAACCTTCTACACTACTTTTTATTATTAAGATCATTGAAAATGTTAAGCCTTAACAAATGTAGTATAATAAATTTTTGTTGGCATAGTAAATTATAATCACTGCTAAATAGATTTTTTTAAAAGTGTGGAGCATCATTTCCTCAAATATTTTGAAAATCTGTAATCATTAAAATAATAAACTTTTTTTTCAGCTTGCGATCAGTTTCTATATTAATTCATTATGTATATATGTCCAAATAGTTATTTAGCTTTTGCACAGTGTCCTAAAATGTAGATAATAATCCCAGCTGTCTATTATCTGCTTTCTGACATGGAGGTGCCAGTGTTGAACTGGGGTGGATGAAGTCAGAAGTCACACGACACCAGGTTATCGTCCAATAGGTTTATTTGAAATCACAAGCTTTCAAAGCACTGCTCCTTCACTTCACCTGATGAAGGAGCAGCACTCCGAAAGGCTGTGCTTTCAAATAAACCTGTTTGTCTATAACTTGGTGTCATGTGTGGCCTCGATTTTCTGACCTTTGAGAATTTTTAAAATGCTTGGCTGGCCAGCCTATCGATTGTATTCACTATGACTGGCACCACAGTAAGTACCAAATAAAATGTCAGATTTAAACAGAGAAAATCAACACTCTAAATATTGCAGCTTTGCTGCTGAATTCAAAATCCAGGACATATGCCAAAAAAGCATACTAATGATGAATTAATTTTCACTATTCAACAAAGGAACACTTCATCTATTAAAAGTAATAATAATTAATTCTCAGTTGCACAATCGCTAAATTTTACAGTCCTCCATCAGTATGTTTTTACTGTCAGCAATTGAAGTTTCACAATTATCACCTGGATCTTAACTATTCTTATGGTCAGAAATGTAAAGCTAGAATCCAAGATGTAACATGCAACATTGGTGTTTTAAGAATAAAACTTATTTCAAAACGTGGTCACCAGTTTAAAAAAAAAGCTCTTGTCCGCACTGGTTCGGTTTCTTATTCTCAATCCATGCACAACTTACCATATTGTGCATTATCAAAAGTGCCAGCCAGAGTCCGACATGAGGAATTATCTCCACCACACACTCCACATTTATCCCGCCTTGCTTTGGAATTCAGTACATGATCACATCCAGCTTGCTGCAAAAGAACAAGTTAGGGATTAAATATAGAAGAATAAATATCTTAGAATGTGTAATTTCCCAAACATGACTATTAACAGTTTTTATCATCTGTCAAGTAAATTAGGAGAGTAGATAAAGCCATCAATAAACATACAACTTGTCCTCGTTGAGAGTGCACAGGAGGATTACAGACAAATCTTGCCTGGTGCCAGTTTCACTAACGAAGCCAGATACTCTGCATTTGGCAAGTCACTGTTGGGCCAAACAATAAGATATCCAATAAAGCATCATTAACTGAAACCAAACACTAAGAGCAATAATAAAAATGCTGCATTTATTGCTTATCCTAGTTGCCCTCGAGAAGGTGGTGCTGCTGCAGTCGCTCTGGTGCTCTTAGCAACGTAGTTCCAGATTTTGACCCAGCAACAGTGAAGGAACAATGATATAGGATGATGTGTGACTTGGAGGGGAAGTTGTGGGTATTGGTATTCCCATGCATTTGCTGCCAGGGCTGAGGACAGAGGGAGAGGCACTATAGCCCATCAGCCAGGGCTGAGGACTCCATACTATAGGGACAGGGCCAGGAACAACCATGGAGTCCGTGACTTCTAACTTGGACCTGCCTGCTGCCCTTGTCCTTCTAGGTCATAGAGATTGGGGTGTTTGGAAATTGATATTCCAAGAGGCTTGATGGGTTACTGATGTTTATCAGTGGCAGAGAATTGAATGTTTAAGGTGGTGGTTTAAATGATGGACAAGTGGGCTGCTTTGTCTGGATGGTGCCAAACCTCTAAAACATCGTTAGAGCTGCACTCATCCAGTTAGCCCAGGCTCATTTGTGACAGACACACACATGCCTCAGGCTGTTGTGCCAAACATACAGGTTTCCCAACCTCTCAGTATCAACTCTCAAATGTTTTCCACTTTCCCTAATGTTTACACAGCTCCAGCTCAGCTCTCACCCAGCTCCACATCTGGAGAAGAGGTTAAAGGTATTAGGTTTGCAATAAAATGCAATTCTCAACCTACCCTGCACAAGCCTTGCACGCAGATATCATTGGTATCAGGCCCACAAGGAGTACCGTCAGTGGCACGGTCTTTCAGTTGGTAATATGCTGTAGTTCCAGCCACACGGCAGAAAAGTTTGCACCGATCCTTCATCAGAACTGTAACAACAGAGTAACATGTAGTACTGACTCCAAATATCCCAGGTTTCTGTTGCGTTGCAAATATTTTGGAATACTTACTGCCACTGTACTTTGGAAGCCAACGCACGTTTGGCGGCAAACCATTGATGTTAAAATGCTTCCCATCAAACTTTGAGCATTGCTCTTCCCTGAAGTCCTTTCTCCCCTTTGGACAAGGGTCTGTGTTACAGGATCGGAATTTCATTCTGCGACCCACACAATACTTCCCACCATTTCTGGGTCTGTTTGGGACAAAAGCCAATAGCTCAGGACAGAAGCAACGTGTGATTCGAATGACTTGGACAGTAAGCAAAATCTCAATGTTGTGTCAATAAGAGTTACCGCCTTATATGTCTCATGCTGGAATGCCATAGTGACAACACCAAGAACTTGTTTTCAGTCAAGCACAAAATTTAAATGCAATATTTTCTCAGAGTTGAAATTTATGAGTTATATTGGATCATTAGTTTCAATATAACAACTTTGCCAAACAATGTATAGACGGCAAAATTAATTTCGTTCAATGACTTGCAGTCCAATGATAGGAAACCAGACCCAAGTCTCAATGTCAGCTGATAATCTGATAGAATGACCTCTCCATTGAAGACCATTGAATGTAGCCAGCTACCAGCAGCAGTCCCATTGCGTGAGGTCATGATCCTTATGAGAAAAGCACACCACCATTCTTTGATCTACAATTTCTACCGACTCGCTTCTTAAAACAAGGTTATGGATGGATCACAAACAAGCTTCTAAACAAGATCAGATGGCGATCTCCTGGTTTGAAGATTCACTTGATTCCCTGGTCATCACAAGGCCAGTCTAAGTCAACGTAAATTGTCAAGGCTGGAAACTACAATTCGTAGATTGAACACATTGTCCAGGAAACATCAGCAAAAGGTGCATCTATCCAATGCATTTGATGAGGGATGAGTGGAGAAAACTATTTCTAGTGATAGAAGAGTCAGCAACCAAAAGTCTTTAAGATGGTTGAAACATGAATCAGAGACAAGATGAGAATTTTATTTCATGTAGTGAGTGCTTATGAACGTGTTTTTTTATTCACTCATGGGATGTGGGTAATGCTGCCTGAGCCAGCATGTACTGCCCATCTCTATTTATCCTCAAGAAGGACTGCCTGAAATAATATCAGAAATAGAATTAATCATGGCTTTTGGAAGAGAATTGGATAAATACTTGAAGTAAAATAAAAGCAGACGACTATGGGGAGAGGCTTGGGGAGTGTGACTAATTGGATGACATTCTTGAAGACCCCAATACAGGTAGTATCGTAGAATCCCTACAATGTAGAAGCAAGCCAATCAGCCCATTGAGCCCAACCCTCCGTAGAGCATCCCACCCAGACCTCACACCCTACCCTATTCCTGCAACCCCGCATTTCCCGTGGCCAATCCAAGTAACCTGCACATCTTTGGACTGTGGTAGAAAACCAGAGAACCCAGAGGAAACCTGCATAGGCACAGGGAGAACGTGCAATCTCCACACAGATAGTTGCCCAAGGGTAGAATCAAACCCAAGAACCCGGGGCCGTGAGGGAGCAGTGCTAATCACTGAGCCACTGTGCTGTCCAGGTAGGAAGGGCTGAACTCCCTTCTTCAATGCTTTACCATTCTATGAATCTATGTAACTGTCATCAAGAGGTAGTGTACTAACCAGGTACAAGCTCACCATTTACTGCATTGTTACTCTATTTAGACATCTGTCTTAAAGATAATTGTCAAAGAGATTGTTTCTTCATCAAAGAAAATTACAGATAACATAACGGGTTTATTCCTGTGGTCTTCAGCCATCTAATTTTGTCAAACCTCCTCATTTAAGCATGGATCTGAACTGTCTCCATTGTGGTGTGTTTGGTTACAGTACGGCTGGTCTTTCCACTTCTGCCTGTTACTTTATTCATGACAATACGACTATACTGTTGTCTGCAAGGTTACAGCCCATATGTTGGATGGTCGATACGAACTGAGATCTTGTTCTTCTGTCATTTTCCTGACATCACAGGTCACAAATATCTTGGCCAAAAAGAGGTACTGAGAAATATCCTCACTTGAAAGGCAAATTTTAAAGTAGAGACCATGGGGGAAAAGAATTCACGAATGCTCATCTTGGAATCATGCATAGCCACCCTGTGATGTTCCCATTGTTTGTGGAAAGTTATGGGCTAGATGCTGAATGAAAAAATGTACATTCTCGAGCGCTGTGGCTTGTGTGAAATAGAGTGGAATCTGTATTCCTTTGTTGGGGTTACAGTCCAAAAATGTGCAGGTTAGATGAATTGGCCATGCTAAATTTTCTATAATGTCCAGGGATGGGCAGGCTGGGTGATTAGCCATGGGAAATGCAGGGCTACAGGGAGAGTGTCTGGGTCAGATGCTGTTTGGAGGGTTGGTGTGGACCTGATGGGCCAAATGGCTTGCTTCCACACTGTAGGGATCCTATGATTCTATGAAAAGTCTCCTAATGTTTTGAAACCAAAATGCAAAAATGCAAGACAAAATCCATACTGAAAGATTAACGTGTGAAGAACACTCATATTAGACTTGAAACATTAACTCTTTTTCTCTTATCAGAAAAGCTGCCAAGCCTATTGAATTTCTGTTTTTATTTCAGATCTCCAGCCTCTGCAGTATTACCATACTGAAAAACATTGAGTCACAAGGTGAATTTAAAAACAAATTCCAGATTTCTCTGCAAAGCATCAAAACGTCGCTAATATTTAACATTCCTGGTAAAGAAATTACTGTGATCTTTTAAGACATACGCAATGTTTGAACAACATAAACATTAAATCAATTAGAACAGTAAAGCAAAGTAAACAGAACACTGCAAACACAAAGCAATACAGTTTGTGATTGCCTATATAAAAGAGCATCATCTTGGTCAAATTGACCTCATAAGGTGTGGAACAAGAGAGATTGCCTTTAGGTATTCCTGTCTCTTTGCATGACTGAATTTTATTTGCTTTTATGTACGCCAATTGAACAAAGAACAACTAATACTGCCCTGTGGAATAGTCTGTCAACTTTGAGATTTGTTTGAGGGGCCTACAGTTAAAGAACATGCAATTTCCTTCCTTAAATGGTGTTCAATAAAGCTCTTGTTGACGGCTTTAGTTTTAGGGGCTCAGTAATACTTTAAGAATGTAGTTGGGAAGACAGATTAATTTTCAAGACACTTGAAAATTAGACAGATACAGTTGAGGATCATGAATTCACTGGCACTGGTCACCCAACTCAGAAAACCACTTTAAATGGCCCGGTGCACCATAATTCAGAGGAAACTTACTCTGGCTTGTTGCAGTCTCTTACTGCACTCCTTATCCCTCCACCACATGTCCGCGAACATGCTCCGTATGATCCCCACGGTCCCCACTCTCCATCCACTGGCCTTGCTGCCATCTCCTTGTTCACACAGAGTCCATGCCGACAATGCTGCATCACAAGGAACAAAAGCTGTGTTTTAACGTTATTTAGTGGCTGAGAAAATGTGGTCCTTCATGGAAAATAGCTGAGGGAAATCTTAAAGAGGATCAGCTCAACCATTGCCATAGTAAGGCAGAGCCATCAGCCTCAGCCGGGGAATCGAACCCTGATCTGTGGCACCTACTGTAGATTGTGTGTTGGCTCAATCTTGATTATAACTTGACAACTGCTAATCCTGAAACACATTTAGGCCAATGAACACACAGCTAACCTTTACCAACCTTTAAGGGTCTTTGAAACTCAATGTTTATTAAGGACAAATATGAAGAATATATCCTCTTGCACAAGGTATCAAAGGGCTTCTGCATAAGAAAAGCCATGGAATCGAATCTATTTTCCCTTTATCTGGACTGTTGGATTACTCTCAAAGAATTTGGTCTGACATAATTTAAGACAGTCTGCAGTCTGAGGTCCAGGTCACTGAAACAGACTGTTCCAGGCAGGAGTTCAGGAAGGTCTACTCCTGCTCCTATTTCTTGCCTTCTTGTGTGTGCTGTCACCATTCTATAGATAGTCTTATCTACATCACGTAGAATCAAGATTAAGGAGAAGTACTTGTACCAACTGGTTTAACTGTCTCAATAAACAACTGTGCCCGAGAGTGGAGATTGTTTATATATTTTAGGAGATAACCTAAGTGATAAATTTTGATTTGCATTCCTTTCTAGCAAGCTTCACAGAAATGTGACGAATTTATGTGCCTGTGCTTTGCAAGTTGTCTGATGCTCAGGTAATTGACTTTTCCAGCAGTGATTTTTTTTTTGTCATTTGAAAGTTCAGGCTTTCCTGTTACTGCAGCTTCTCATCACGAAAACGGTAACAGGAAATGAACAAGTTCTCTGTCTTACAAAAACATTTGGTGGACATGGGAAATCTTAATAGTAGAGTGTCAGCATTGAATTGAATTTTAAGAAGTCTCTACAATGAAAGTTGAACTGCAGCAAGGAAATCATCAGTGATCATGTCATCGAGTTATACAAGGCCTCAAACTGATGCAGTATTTACCACATGGAGACACTAAGCTTTCTTCTGCTGTGTGCTTTCAGAAATCAAAAGGAGAAACGAAAAATAAAAATTTTACACCAGTTTACTGTAGTCAAATTCTGTTTGACAACACCCCTGTGAAGGGCCTTGGAATGTTTTATGACTTTAAATGCCTTATCTAAATGCAGTTATAGTGACCTTGTACATGAGAGTGGAAGGACTCAGGAATGTACTCACAAAACCCCGCAAAGAGATTCTCAACATCCACCATAAATTCAGGATGGGTACCAATTGCAGACCCAGATCTATATGTAAATGAAACAAGGGAAGTTATGATGACGCTGTCACTTTAAAAGGTTATTTTGTCCTTTTTTTGAAGAGAGGTTGTAAGACAGAGGTGCTGAACTGGCTATTTGAATACAACTTAAGTAAAGAACTTATGAGGCTTTTTTTCAAGTTGGAACAATGGAAGCAGCCTGATTGGGTGTGGCCAGCTCGATCAGAGCCAAATTTCAGGGTTTTGATTTTTTTTCAATAACATCAAAAGCTGTTTGGAGTCTCAAAAGAATTGGAAGCTTCAGTGGAAGTCTCTTGGCTGCTACACTCTCTGAATTTTCTCTTGATATTTCTTCTTCCTGGATTGGAGAACTGCACATAAGAATCTGCATCTGAATTAGCCTTTATGCCAAGGGGTATGTTTATGGGATGTTATTATATTGGAACAGTTAATTAGTAATAGGTACAGTATCTATTATTCAGTTAAGTTTTCTAATAGTTAAGTTCTACTAAATTCTTCTTTCTTTTGTTTGTATTTTAACCTGAGTGTTTAAATAAATTGTGCTTTGCTTAACATGAAATAGTTTGACCAATTACATTACATCTGGAACACACACTTCACGTCTACCTTTAAAATAAGAAAAAGTTAGGGTGTAGGCTACCTACCTAAAATATTTTGAGGGGGTCTTGTCTGGTCCATAACAGAGTGGAAGGGGAATACAGCATCAATAGTGTCCCCACTACTCCCAGGTTAGAAGTTAGCACCACTGGCAGCAAGCTAACAGCTGACATGGGGAAAGCAAGAACTGCAGATGCTGGAGTCAGAGATAACACAGTGTGGAGCTGGAGGAACACAGCAGACCAGGCAGCATCAGAGGAGCAGGAAAGTTGACGTTTCGGGTCAGGACCCTCCTTCAGAAATTCTTCCCGACCTAAAATGTCAATTTTCCTGCTCAACGGCTAACTTGGGATCTCTTTCCAGTGCTACAATAAGTGATGTGAGGTGGAAGTCCACAACAAATTGCCATTTCAAAACAAAATTACACTAGGAATGGCCACTGATGGTTTGAAATTGACAATCTAGAAAGAAAACCAATTAAGGGCAGACTGTTGTGAAAGATATTAAACATTAAACAGTATAGCGGAGGTAAACCTAAAGAATTATTTCAAAATAAACCAACTGAGTATCAAAAATAAACTGATGAAAAATAAAAACCAATGTGAAAGATGGAAGAATGGTAAAGGTGTGGAATAGATCATTGGGCTTATGCAAAAGGAATTTGATGTGATTTTGGGAGTGTTAATGCTTTGGAGGAATAAGCATTGGTATGCTAAAGGGAGTTTCTCAGTCTTCTTATCAGTCAAACCTTAGCTTCAAGTGTTGCGGCAACATAAAATGTGTTCTAATATTATTTTGTTATTGGTCAAACATCTCTCAAAGCAACCCTTCATTTTGATACACAAAACATACAGCTCTGAAACACTGTACACTAAGGAAAGTGAAGTTCATACATAAAAAATATAAAATGCAACCTTTAAATATCATGGCCATAGAGTCATACAGCACGGAAACAGACTCATCAGTCCAACTCGCCCATGCTGATCAAGTTTCCTAAACCAAACAAGTCCCGGTTTACCTGCATTTTTCCCGTATCCCTCTAAACCTTTCCTATTCATGTGCCTGTCGAAATGTCTTTTAAATGCTGTAACTGTACCTGCATCTACCACTTCCTCCGACAGTTCATTCCATATACACACCGCTGTGTGTGAAAAGTTACGTCTCAGGTTCCTTTTAAACCTGTGCCCTCTAGTTTTGAACTCCCATATCCTGGGGAAAATACCTTTGCTTTTCACCTTATCTATGGCTCTCATGACGTGATAAACTTCTGTTAGGTCACCACCCCAACATTCTATGCTCCAGGGAAAAAAGTCCCAGCTTCTCCTTATAACTGAAATCTTCCATTCCTTGTAACATCCTTGCAAACCTCCAATTCCATTAAACTCTCCAAAGGTGTATTTATTTCCTCTCCTCCTTTGCACTTTGAATATTTAGCAATTATCAGAAAAATGTGGCACTGAGCCACAGGCCAAGTTGGTTTTAAAAAAAAACTTAGAGGAGAAATAGGAGAGGATTCCGGAATGAAGCAATTCAAATTTGGGTTATACAAGAAGCCAAAGTCGGAGAAATATAGATAGCTCAGAGGGCTGAAGAGTTGCAGGAGTTTATAGAGATACAACCGGAGGCTGCCAGCCCATTTGAAGACAAGGATGAGAATTTTTAAAATGACATGTTGATAATACAGCAGCCACTGTAGGGAGAGCACAGGGATACTCTAAGAGCAGATCCTAATATGAGCAGCAGATCCTTAGATGAGCTCAGGTTTAGTGAGTAACATGGAATGGCTGAATCTGGAATAACTAAAGGTCTAAATGAATTTGAACCCAGATTAGCTGAAGTAGGGGGCAGATACAGATGTGGAACTAGGCAACCTTGGTGCTGAGAGGATATGTGATCTTGGGGTTAAGTGGGATGGGGAGGTTGTAAAACAAAAATCCCAGAACACTATCTTGAAGAGGAGACAGGTGAGCTATCTCAGTGACCTGTCAACATTGAGCTCCCAATGAACAATGAAAATCCCTAAAATGTCCATAATGGTGAATTCAGTAATTATCATGCCATTGAGTATCAAGGGCGATGATAGATTCTCTCTTGTTGGAGATGGGCCTTGCCTGTCACTTGGGGCATAAATGTAATTTGCCATTTGTCAGCCCAAAGTCTCGCTGCATTTGGACATGGACTGATTCAGTACCCGAGGAGTCGTGAATGGTGCTGAACGTTGCGCAATCATTGGAGAACATCCCCACTTCTAACCTTATGACGGAGGGAAGGTCAATGATGAGGCAGCTAAAGTGGGTTACTCCTGAGAAAGTACTCTGAAGAGTCTTGCTGAAACACCCTGGAGCGGAGATGACTGACCTCCAACAATCACAACCATCTTCTAACGTGCCAGGTATGACTCCAACCAGGAGAGGTTTTTCTCCCTGATTCTATTGAGTTTTGCGAGGTCTCCTCGATGCTAGACTCAGTCAAATGCTGTTTTAATGACAAGGACTGTCACTCTCACCTCACACCTCGATTTCAGTTCTTTGTCGATGTTTGGACCAAGAACGTAAGGAGAAATTCACCAAAGATCCTCAGACAGCACCTTCCAAACCCACGACCACTTCCACCTAGAAGGACAAGGGGAGTAGATATATGGGAACCCCACCACTTCCAAGTTTCCCTCCAAGCCTCTCACCATCCTGGCTTGGAAATATATCGCCATTCCTTCACTGTTGCTGGGTCAAAATCCTGGAATTCCCTCCCTAATAGCATTGTGGGCCAACCCACAGCAGGAGGACTGCAGTTGTTCAAGAAGGCAGCACACCACCACCTTCCAAAGGGCAACTAGGGATGGACAAGAAATGCTGGCCAGCCAGCGATGCCCACATCCCACAAATGATTAGGGAAAAAAAAAGGTCAGGTCAGGAGCTGAGTGGCCCTGGTGTAACTCCAACTGAAAGTTAGTGAACAGTACAAATCAAGTTGTGTCTAAATTGGATTGGAGATGCAGAAAATTTGGAGATTTTTAACATTACTTCACACAACTGCATGTATGGAATCAGCTGCCAGAGGAGATAATGGAGGC